CTCCACAACTCGACAGCTGGCCAAGAGAGGGTAAGATAGTCCGAAGGATTTTAGGTAGGCTTTAGCCAGTGCCGCTTGGGATGGCACAACGGGTGGGAGGGATGCATGAAGATCTACATATATGGTATTGAAATAATGAGCAGCTAGAAAATCGGAAATAAACGGCTGGTAATCAATATCAAAGCTCCTAGGTTTATCAAAGGGCAAATTAGCTTCACTTTTGCAGGCCTGAAACAGATTAGGCATGCCGCTCGATATCTACAAGCTATTTCGAAGGGATCTGTCTATTAAATTACCAAAAGAGAGGTGGGCTAGTCTCACCACTTGTAACAATATGAAGGGTCTCATCATGCTGAGCACAGAAAGCCGCGCGGAGAAATTAGAGGTCCCCCATAAATACTTCCACAGAAGCTGCAGAAATGAAGAAGAGCCAGAGACCTTGCAGCACCTGTTATGCGAATGCCCTGCACTTTGGAGAAGCAGACGTAATTTTATGGGTTCAGGATTCTTTGAAGACCTAACGACATAGCCGAGGTAGGCATAAGGCAACTTTTGGGTTTCGCGAAATACACACGATGGCTTGAATAGGAAGGTTCTAGCGAACCGCGTGGTATCATACTGGCCCACAACCTAAGGGCCTGTGTGTGCTAGTGCAGTCAGTGGCAGCCACTTCAACCTAACCTAACCTATCAATGACACTAGCACAGCTTCATTTTATATTTTTTTTTTTCGATTGGCCGGACTCGTTACAAAATTCGGCTCGCTAAATTCGAATTTGGAGTGAGAACTCAAAAGGCATGTCGTATTCTTTTTTCCTTACCTAAACAAAAACTCAAGAGAAATTGTGAAATTCTTCAAAGTTTATGAGCTTCGAGAGTAAAAGCGAGGTTATTTTTAAATTCCCGCGCTCAACCAATTTTGAAGAAATAACTAACATCGTTTTGCGCCCAGAAAACTTGTTTTGCGGAGCTGTGATATAAATATGTACATAAATTTGAGTCATTTAATCTAAAACTGAACTCGTAATTTGAAGTTATCAGCTGTTGGCTCTCAAAAAAAATTATATTTTAATAAGTTGAGAGTAGGGCTTATTATATTAAAAAAGATTCTGATTCGCTGATGAGAAATCTATAAGAATTTGTAAGTTTCATTTACGGGAGTAATAATAAAAAAATGCGTTGTGGACTTTATTTGAATCATTTGAAAGCTTTATTGAATCGGCTTTTATTGGCTATCTTATTCTAAACATCATCGAAAGTTTCTTGAACTATGTATGTACTTATGTAGATAAGGTTATTCAAATCGTTTTAATTCCATGAGCATATTTATTAATTACTCTCATTCATTTCACTTTCGTCTGATTCAATTTTCTCTAAAATGCATTTATCTTAACTTTACTTATGTATTTATGTATATTAGGGTGGTCCTGAAAATATCAACATCATGGGGCACCCCTTTATTTTGTTCTACGTTTCAAATAAAGGTAGGTCGATGACCAGAGCAAAAAATTCGACAAAAATTTAAACTTAACTCTGATAGATTTGACATATTATTGAAACTTATTCAAATAAATTCGTAAACTCGCAGCAAATTTTCGCGAAAATATTAATTTTTTTCAAACCATGGAAGGGTTTTTTTCTACAAACAAGTAAAGACATACATGAAAATTTCAAAATGAAAAAAATGAAGGGTCGCTACCAGGGTTGGCCAAAAATTATTTTTTTTTTTAATTACGAAAATTCCACGAGGTTAGGAATTTATATGAATACGAATACATAAAATTAATCTGATTTGAAGTCAAAATTTTGTCGAATTTTTGGAATTTTTTTAACTTTATTTTTACAAACCCTGGTATCGACCACTAAAATTTTGTTTAAAATCTACGTGTATGCCTTTGTTTTGTACGTGGAAAAAAACAAAGTGGTGCTCCATGCAGCATCTAGATCTTGATATTTTTTAAAACCACCATAATGTACATACATATGTTGAAGTTACATATTTTTATTTTTATTACCACTTCGAATTGAATTCAATCGTCAAAGATATTGGCAAATGAAGCGTGAATTATGTGGCACCTTGCCTAACTTGCAACACCAACAACAACCAACAAGAAAAACACAC